TGTCCACTTAAGCAGTGATTTCGATAAGTCTCGTGCTATTTGTAGACTAGCAATGTACTGCAAATGTTCAATGGCGGGCTGTTGAAAATAGCGCTGTTCTCTTATTCCTTTTTTTACGTAAAAAAAAGTATCGAAACCCACATAGCAAGATTCCAAAGATTAAAGAGCGTTGTAGAGAAAATGAGAAGTTAAGCAGATACTTTACTTTAGATTTTGCTAACAAGACTAATGTTTCTCACTGAACAAAATACAGGAAAAACAAACTTGTCTTCTGGCCTCCATCCTCTTTCTGTGCCGTGAACTTCCTTGTTTTTATTTTAACGCCACTATTTTTTGGTCTTTGCTCTTTCAAACTTTCCTTCCTCGCACCTCACAGTTTTCCTGCTCCCCACACCTTGACTTTAGGTGGATGAGAAAGATTCCATTGTACTAATTGAAAAGAAAAGGGAGTTTCTCCCAGCATTTGGGCCAACATTCAGATCAATTGGTTATCCTCCTTACGGCGCTTTGTGGGATCCCTGCTAGTGTAAGTCACTGCCATGTTTGTTGACCAAAAAGGTGATGCAATTGCCGGTAATTTTCCGTGAAATGCTTTGAAATGCAACAGGACACTGTTCAAAATACAATTACTACCTTGTGTGTGTTCTGTGGAAGGAATACACTCTAATCAAATGACATTCCCTTCTTCAGTGCCTAAGTTCTGTGGTTTTTGTTCATCTACATCATTACAGAATTCAATGAAAAACTCGGGAAAAATTAATAATTTACAATTGATAATGCTGAAAGTTTACCTGCGCATACTGAAAGTGTACTGTCTACATGAAAATATAAAATGCTGACTATTTGTACTTGCTAAAGATAACAGTTAATTTGCTTTCAGTTTATCAATTACTAGCTTTACCCATTGCAGCTTTGCTTGCAACCAAAGGATCCAATATGGAATGCAGATTGACACACAGACAGACACACAGACAGATATTTCATGTTTAATCTATACTCCTGTGGGAGGACTCCTGTGGGAGGACTCGGCACTTTAAAAATGTAATTTTGTTGTTATTGCCACAGCTTAACTTCATCTGTGTTCTTTGTTTTGTTCCTGCCACTTTGCTATGTGCTGCACAATGCCACAGGGCCACAGTCAGCTGGTGCTGCCACCAGGTGTATCTACAGTGTGTGCATACATATGTAGGTGCTCTGTAACGCACAATGTCACAGCGCCACTTTGACTCGGCGATAACTGCAGCAAAAAACACAAAACTGAAAATAACCCATGCACAGTAGGAGATACCCAAAAACAAATATGCCCATGTCACTCCTAGATGCAAGACCTTTCCAATGAGGTATAAATGATGTCTCTACGTCAATCGGTTATTGAGATCCTTCTTGAAGCGCAGACAGACATTGTTGTTTTATTGGCATAGATAGAAGAAGATAGAAGATGAAAGATAGAAAATAGATTAATATTGTATAATCAGCAAGAAATCATGAAATTTAATTTGAGAACTAATCCACTCTTTGTGAGTGGATTATCTTGCACATCATACACCACTGCAGAGTTTGGTTTAACATGCAAACATTCAGTGATTTGAACCGTTGAAACATTTTTGGGCCCAGCTTTGGCTGCAGGGTGTTAAAAGGGCGTGAACCTATTGCAGGAATTTCAGTTTGAAATACTCACACCCATACTTAAACATAAGCCTAAAACCTGAATACTGTAGTGGCCTAAAGATGTAAAGCAGTGGAGCCAGGTGCAAATTTGCAAAAACTGTTAAAATGCTTTCAGTCGCTCTTTATTTTGGGGAATGTGTGTACTGTAAAGTCTACTGAGACGATTCATGCTTGCAATTCATCTGCTACCGAGACCAAAATGCTATTTGCAGTACACTTCACTTATTTTAACTAGGCCACCAGAAGTCTGATGTGCTTGCAAACTGCTGCTTTACAGTCGTCCTGTGTTTCAGCACTTGCAAACAGCATAGAAAATCCTTTGACTGTGAATGAACTGTTTCAGGTTTGTTTCAGAAGATACCTGGTGATTTCAGAAATATTTGTCATAGTTCAGGGAAGTGGACATTTAATTTCAACAATGCAATCTGCCTTATTGATTCTTTTTGGGGGTGAATTGTCCTGTAAAAATTAAATTACGTTGGACAATTCAGCCTGTGAATTATTTGGGGATGTTTTGATGATGTAATAAGGCGCTATATCAAATGCAAGGATTATATTTCTGTACACCCAGGGACTCTCAAACTAATGGAAGCAGAAATAGAAAATGATGGCAAACAGAATACATATTGCTGTGGTGCTCTGCATAATTAGAGCTCTCATATGCTGTACAAAATGCCCACCCGTCCTATTCTCTTCTCCTTTTCCCCTCTATTTGTTTCTCCCTTATGTATCCATCAAGCTTCTGTTAAATATATAATATAAAACTCAGAAGACAAGAGAGGTTGGCCCATGGAGTGCAGTATTATGTTTAATTTTATTCCTTTTTATGCACAATTTGCAATGTTTGTAGTCACAGTATTGCCATTTTGAGGTATAAATTTGAAGTTGAGCATACCAGAATACCTATAGTACTTCCTATGTTATTTTAGCATCTAACAAGGAAATGCATATGTTGCACCTCTGTTTCTAAGAGAACAGGAAATGGTAAGCAGCAGCTGAAGAAAGAAAAAAAAAGCCACATCCTGAAAGCATAGTTCAATCTGTATAAGGGGAGCGACCATTCTATTAAATGACGTCTATTAAATGCAGCTGCTGTTTAACAAGTACGCTTGGTTTCAAACCCTTATTGCAGAGCAACGGATCCAGGCAACATTTCAAAATTGCACAGGTTTACTTTGTGGTATCTTTGGATTATTAAGGGAGTTCCTATTAGTGCACTGGAACACGAAGCACTGGTTATCGCATTTGTACATTCACTATTAAAGTGAATATTTGAGGAAGCTTTGCAGTCCAGTGTAGCCCATCCTCATATCCCCTCCAGTACTCCTGCAGTGGATGCAGCTCTATATATTGAAGATCTCGTAGTGTTCTGTACTTTAGGGTTCTACTGTTCGATGAGCAGGATTGAAAGGCATTTGCTGAGTTCAATGGCCTTTTTTTTAAATGTACCACGAGGACCAGATTGTGGATTTTATAAATATTAATGTATGGGTCTTCCTTTACCAAAATGTGTTTTATTAAAAATGTAGATTGTTCAAACGAAACTAGTCAATGGTAGATATTGATTCAATGCAGGACTTTACTACATGCACAGTGGTGGTAGGATTTATGTTGTAACCAGCTGGTGGATGTTGCATGTTTAGAACTTTTCTGCCAAAACATTGTGATCAGTATCTGTGAAGCAGCAGGCAAATGTCACAGTATTTCCCCATTATTCTAAGTTTCTGCCTCTCTGTAATCAACAACATTAATACTTGTAGATCACAGAATAGGATTTCTTAACTTTAGTGCTGGAGTGTAAGTGTATTATAAAGCTCATTCGCAGCCAACCACATCTAAAGTTTAATGCTGAAAATCAGTAATGCTGAAGTGATTATGATCAAGAGCCTAATTTATAATTCCTGATTACATTTTCCAGCAGCTGATGAGACGTGTGAGCATAAATGCATATGTGGAGCTCCATAAGCACTGAATGCTGGTTAGTTTATTTTTAAAAAAATTATAGGCTTTTAAGTCCCATTTTTGTAAAGAGACTGAATTGATTTGCAGTGTTTATTTATTCTGCAGAGGTGCAAATGGATTTCCTTGTTGAAACCCCTGCTCAAAGTAACATGGGCAGATTTGGCAATTGGGTTGGAAAAGTGCAGAATAAACAAATACATGTTTCATTGCAACTGTAGCAACACTTGACACTTGACAAAGTGACACTTCTCGTTCATGTTCCAGCTCTGTTAAATCTTGGATTCCTTCAATTAACAGTTACAAATACCTTTGTTTACTTATAATGAATTATGGATTTACAGGAAAGGATGATTGATATGCATCCTTTGCTGTCAACTGCTTATTCTGTCTTTTACCGACTTGTTAGTCAACCCAGTGTGCAAGAAGCAAAGACCTTGTATGTTCTGGATCAGCCCATATATTTGATTAATTCCTTATATGGGCACGACTGTTTAAGGCATAACTGCTAGATAGTTGACCCCCCATGTGATGATACTTATTTCACTCCAGTCCAGCCAAAATGTAATCGCTGGCATCTTTCACAACTACAAGGATTACACTGAACACATTTCCCTGTAAGACTGCTGGTGAGAACAATAAAACCTGTGTGCAAATAGAGGCTTCCAAACCACATGCTTAGTTAAACGGGTCTACATTTTAAACATGGCAAAGCCTCTAATAAATGCACTAAGTGAGTACTGGCTGCCACTGCACGTAAATGGTCTTTTTTTTAAAAAAAGAGGGGGGGGGAGAGGTTAAAGCTGGGTAAGCTTTAGTAAGAATTAAAGGCTACAGAATGAATAGAGCTGGAATATGAATACAAACTGTTGCTGAATAAATAGTGCAGGCTGTCAGGTTTTTGTGCACTGCTCAGTAATGCGGAGAAAGAGTAACTAGTAAGGCAGATCGTCATCGGAGTTTGGTATGATTCCTTCTTTACTCAGCTGCATGTATGGGAACTAATCAAAAATTGTACTCGTCACTGCCATAGCTAACTAAGAGGAAATTCTTTGGGATGTTGATGCTGTTCTCTTGAAGGTGGGTAAGAAAATCCTGACCTGGCCCTTTCCTTCCAGACGTTCATGTGTCAAGCACATCCTTTCCCTCCCCCAAAATGGATCTATTCTATGGCACTGCTTTCCTGTTTGTTCTCTTCCTGGTCCCCACTATGTCAGTTTGTGCGACAATCACAGGACTTTGTTGTCTCTCCACCAGTCAATCTCAGATGACATTTATTTATTTTTCTTATCGCCTTTGCAACTGAAAACTATTGAGTTTTCTGTTCGTGAAGCGATCTGAAAAGCTTGAGTGACTGGACACTTATTGTAGGTGAACAGAATGGTCTTTTATTGTGAAGTGCTTCACACTACTTCACAGAACAATGTCATTATTACAATTGCAGAGAGAATATAAAAAAGGTTAAATTATAAATAATGCAACAAGCAACTGCTAATAGGCAGGATATATTAAAACATTCCATTATCCACACACTAAGAAAAAAATCAATTTAGATTTTTGCATAAATATTAATACTGGCAATAACAATTGTTTTAGTTGGGAGTTCACAGAAGTACAAACATTAACACTGACAAAGTTATTCTATTACAGTAAACACTTGTATCAATTATAACACTGAGGATACATTTAAAAATGATTTAGGTCTTCTAGATTCACATTTTAAATGTGTACAGAATCTGTAACTAAGAGATTTACTTTGAATCATAATTTGCAGTATTCGATGCATCTGTTACAGGATGTCTACTTTCCAAGAAGGAAAAAAGTGATCCGACCAGTAACAGACCATCCCCATTGCATTCCACAGTTAACCATTAAAAAATATTCCCAGTGTTTAAAAAAGGGTTATTATTGGTAATCAATACTGTCAATAGAACTGTAACGATAGCACAATAGTATTATCGTCAAAAATTCTGTACCACGTCAGTGTTAAATTTAATAACCCTTGCAAGAGCCAAAGAAGAGGCAGGCATGTGTTGTCCATTTCTGGCACCTATTTAACACACATTAAAACCAGGAATAATGTACCTGGCTGACCAACAGATGTGGATTGTGGCAGTTAATAGAATTAAGCGGCAGATTTTGTAAGATGGGACTACTATACAATGTTCTGAATTTCTGTGTACATGGGACTGTTTTTCCTGTTACTCTTTTCACGTTTTTTATAGTCAATATTGTACCCTCTGCCTAGCTGGACTAATGTGAGTGTTTTGCAATCTGACTTTGGTTAATTCAATATCTCATTGACAAATGGCTACATCATTCCCGATTTTTAAGGAGGATTTCAAATCTTCTGTGGCCTCTCCCGGAACTTAGCTTAGTCATGTGCAATTCATAGGTTGTTAAACATCTGGAATATGAGTCTTCAGAAAAAACACCCTTCAACAGAGAACTAAGTAGTTGCAGTAGCCATCAGCTCAGCCACACCTAGAGAGCATAGGTGCAGAATGTCATGGGAGCATCAGAAATAGGAGATGTCAAAAGAGTAACATGGGAAGAAAGATCCAGCTGTGAGCTCTCATGGATTGGAAAATTCCCAAGGATTCAAGCTTAGAAAAAGAGGTTGTTACAGCACAAAATCACAAGAGGTGTGGGTGAAGAAGACCCTTTAGACCATTTGATCTCATTAGAATGTCCACTCTGTTATATGTTCCCATTTACAGCATCACTCTATTTTTATAAGGCCATTAGTTACAGTCTATGTAAAGAAATACTTCCTAATGTCTGTCCTGAAATTACTCTTCACAACCCTGAACTTCTGCCTTATCCTGCTGCCTTGGCTTATCTGTTTTGACCCCTGGAGTTATGCTGGAAAGTCTAAGGAATAATGGAGTAGTCCAATACCCAGTTTAGCTCTGCAGTCTCAAGATATATGGACAACTATTCAGCAACATACAGTAATTTTGTAACAAGCAGCATGAGAAATCGTGAAGAATCTCTGGAAGGAACATTCAACATTCATTTTGATTCTTTGGGTAAATAGATGCAATCAACTATTTTGGAAGATTTCCAAATCCTCATGAAAGGCTTATGCTGTTCCTTAGCAATATTTGTCATAATGAGATAATCTGCACATGTAGCGTAGTCAGCTATGGATCATGTTGGGTGCTTCTAATCTCAGCTGTATTACAGTGCCATCTGATAGCCTTTGTATGATTAGAGCTCTGATAGTTTTAGTTGGCAAGAAAACATGTGACCACAGCACCAGGCCATTTTTTGACAGAGGATGGATCCTCAGAAATAGCTGTACCCTCAGAAAACAAGCATTTCATTCCCATGTTGGGTATGTGCAGGGTGTGGGTAGGAAGGAGAGCTTTCCACTTCATCTGAGGAAGCACACAGATTGGCCATAACTCAGAAATTAAGTACATGGTGACCTGGAAAGGAGGCACTAATATAATGATGCACACAATCCACAAACGCTGCACATAATCGAGAGATAAAGGACACTTACCACTAACTTTGCAATCTGAATCAATTTATTCAATCACATTATTAATGTCTGTTACATGTGAATGTGCCAAACAGTGCAATGGGGTGAGAAGTAGCAGTGCACGTGGAAAGATCTTGAGACATGGAAAACGTAGGGAATGGCACAAACCTGCATCGGACAGGAATGGCACACCTTGTTGTTATAGCCTCATGGGTCAGCAGGAGATACATCACTGGGAACTGTATCTCATGTGGTATATCTACTGTGTGGGTCAGCCTGGCCCCCAAAGTCAATCTCCAAAATATTCCCCTCTTCCTGATCTATCTCAAAATTGACGACTGCTGCTCCCATCTGGTGCTTAATACTGTGGAGTCTGAGTGGAGGATAGAAACAGGATAAGGTTCCGTGGAAATCTTAGTGCAAATTAGCATTCTCAGTAAAGCCACTATTTGCCCTAAACATTTATACCAAAAAGAGATAGCTGCACTTGACTGACTTAAGCATGGACTCAACTATTAGTTCATTGCTTTATTTTGTATTTTAGTGTGACATCCTTCTGGGCCATTTTAGAAACTTAATACTGATTTAATGGCAAATTTAGATTCTTGCCTGCAGCTTACGCACAATACCAAAGACGTTAACTTTAGCACCGAGTGAAATATTCCATCCCTAGCATTTGCCTTCAATATAACCTGGGTGAATTTGCCTTCATTAAAAAAAACTCTGTAATGGATACAGTACTGTTTCAAATCCAGAATTATTGCCTGAAATTTAAAATTATACTATGGAAACATAGGACAGTAAAAAGGCAGAGGACTGTGGGGAAAAAATTGCATTTGGGTCTGGAAATAAGGAGCATAAAGCAAGGTGGGAGATTTTTAAAAAAATTTGAAGCAGTGCTTCTCAGCTGAAAAAGTAAAAAAAATTTAAAGAAGAGCAAAATTAATTCTCCATAGTGGTCAGTCTGGTGTATACCTGAGAATGACCAGCATTGGATGTGTGAATGTTTTGCATTCTCCTTACATATTATAGATTTAATTATTGACAGAATATACAGTACGTTTGCCAACCCTACTTTTTTTGTTAAAAAAGCAAACAATCTGGTGGTTCTCTGAAAAGATACACGTTCATCTGTGCAGCACTCTCTCTCTCTCTCTCTCTTTCTTGCTTTCAGGCCCATAAAATGAAACTTACAAACACTTTCTCTTAGTCTCTCCACAACAATTTTACACCACTTAAGAAACTTTGTAAAAAGATTCTAATATTGCAACTTTCCATTAACCACCCAGTCTGCATTGCATCAACATTCATGATAAGTTATAGAGTTAAGCTAGGGTACACTTTTTCGATACTTAGTCACTATTTTTCTACGTCTCTCTACCTGCTCAGACGGTGAATTCCCCGATTTGTTCCACAATTCCTTTAAATCTTTAAGTTCCTGCAAGACTTCATTAGCTTGCTTCCATTTCGCCACAGCTTCATTCAGCAAGTTTTCTGCATTGCCTGGTGGCTGATTGTCTTGTGTGCCATTGCCTTCTTTGTCGCTTTGAAGATGCCCTTTTTCACCCGAAGTCTCCGAAACTTGGTGGAGAAGTTCTTGAGTTACTTTTAGCTCCAAAGCTATGTCCTCTTCCATTTGCTCCACATTCTTTTTCTTCATGTTGGTATAAAAAGTGTCAAATTGTTTTCTTTTTACATTTTGTTTGCATTCTGATAAGATATCGCCCAAAGAAGCACATTTGACCATGGATAGATGTCCCCCATTTGCTGCTGCATTCACTGAAGCGACTGGCCTTGAAGTTTCAGAAAGCTCCTTATTTTCATTGGTATCTGAAATTGCTTTGGCCTGAAGGTCAAGTGATTGACCCTCATTCTCTGGGTTGTCAGAAATGGTTTTTGTGGTACAAGAGACTTCTTGTTTCTTACGCTCCTCTGGATCTTGTGCCTTATCCTCTTCAGAACCTTGTGTCTTACTCTCCTCTGGATCTTGTGTCTTATCCTCCTCAGAACCTTGTGTCTTACCCTCCTCGGACATTGGTTTCTTATCCTTCTTGGGATCTGGTTCCTTAACCTCCTCAGAGATTTGCTCCTTGCTTTGACTAAGTGAGGGTTCTGGATCGTTGTTGCTTTGTGTATTATTATTCTTGACTTTAGGCATAAGGATAGGACGGGTCTTGTTTGTATTGCTCTCAGCATTTTCCTTTGATCGTTGTACTCCATCTGTTGAATCTTTGGGAACACCAGACTGATGCCCTAGTTCTAGCCTCTGCATTCCATCCGAAACAGAACTGGCTACCTAAAATATGAAGGAGAGGAAAATGTTAAAACTGCTTCACCGTCAATGATGTAAGTTTCACTAAGTGTGGACATAATAGGAAACTTGAGGGGCTCCAAATTATATCATAACTGGGTTCCACAGTTGCATGTCTCATGCTGCAAATTCATTCAATTTCTCTTTGTGTGTGTCCACTTGAGCAGCACAACCAAAGACTAGTACTGAGCACCAGTGTTTCTGGTGTTAACTTAAATTTCGGTAAGAGAGAGAGTCAAACCTCGCAAAAAATGATTACTAGTGTGAGGTAGTAAAGGATTAATAGGATGAATAGTTGGGTTCATGGAGAAGGGTCACAAGTGTTCAGAGCCAGATACTCTGCTGAATTTGTTAAATTAAAATATCAATCTGTTTATCTCTCTTAAGGTGTAAAAATGTTGGTTAATTGCTTTCGGTTTATGGCTTTTTTGATAGATTTTGTGAGTTAATGGGTTTTATGGTCTTGTCGGAATCTTTTAGTCTGAACGATAGTTGAGTTAACAGTTGAGTTAACCAGTTTCATGTTTTCGAACTGTCAAAATATGAAGGATTTATTGAAGAAGGTAATTCTTAGTCAATTACAAGTTGAGTTTGTCAAAGTACAGAGAACTGATTGGCTATAAAAGTCACATCCTCACATTTGAGTTATAAAAGAGAGGGAGTGGAGTTGAGTTTTGAAGTTTGGAGTTTTAACTGATATTTGACTTTAATATCACAAATTATAAAATCTCTGAATCTTAGGAACTCAGAAGAGATGTGAATTTGGGGTAAGCTTACTCCATTTGTTTACTCTTGGTAGTCCAAGTGTTGAGGCTCAGTGGTTAGATATCTTATAGAGTATGGGATATTATGCCTTGTTAAAGTTATATTAATATAGTATTATCAAAGTATTATATAAGAATTGTTTTTGTTATTTTGCGTTGAATGCCCCGAATACGGTAATATATATATTGAAGCATAAGGGTTTGAATAAATGAGGAATATTTTATTGAAAGCCAAGTGTTGGGTCTATTTTGTGAGACTGCTCTGACCGGGCATGTATCTTTGACATAAAATGAGAAGAGAAGGATCACTCCTTTCAGCGTGCACCTGGAAGGAGCATGTAATTCTCACACGGAGGTAAGATACCGTGACACTAGAATGTTGGCAGAATTCACTGTCATAACTTTGACTGATGGCAATCAATGACAACATTTGTAACACAACTGGGAATTGAAAGAAACATCGTGCTTGACCCTGAAAGAAGATAGCTGGTGGAACTACAGCCAACAGGCACGCTTGCTCCCGCATATATTTCCTTTCAGTCCTTCTGCCTCGCCCCCTCCCTTGCCACCTTCAAGACCCATCTCGGGACCCTGCTCTTCGACCGTGCTTTTGATCTCCCTGCTTTCCCCCCTGCCCTCCACCCTCCCCCACTCCGACCCCCACCTCGGGTCTGTAATCTGTCTGTCCAGTGCCTTGGGATGTCCTCCCGAGGTGAATGGCACTATAAAAAATTAATTTTGTTGTTGTTTATGTCCCTGGCTCCAGGCCTTCAGGTGAAAATTCTGAAAGAGCTTCAAACCCTCTCCCTTCAGGCCAGGCCTGCTTGGACTGACAACAAGGGACACCCTCAGACTGGCTTCAGTTGCAAATCTCACCATTTTTCCAATCAGGAAAGGGGATTGCAGGGAAAAGGGAAAAGTGAAACATTTTACAGGGGACGTCCTTTTGGAAATCCTCAACAGTCCTGCCCAATGTGTCCTTGATCCCACAGTGCATGTGTGGAGGTGGTGGAAAAAGGATTCTACTTTTTAATGCTGAGAATGCAGTCCACCTGCTGACACAGAAAAGATTTAAGAAAAAAGGTTTCTCTTTGAGTCACAACTGCATTGTGGAAGTGACACCCATCTGAGCTACTGCTGATTTGACTGGGCTCCAGAACACACATACACAGAAACACAGCAAATGTTGACTCACCCTGTGGTTTTCCTTCCCTCCCTATCCTAGATCAGAAATTCATTAAATAGAGAGAAATGTGAAAGTAGATCACATTCTGCCATTCTAACACAGGACATTATTCTAGTGCAGTTCAGTAGCCCCCAACCACCATTCACTCTTCACAGGACTTAAAGAGTTCTTACTTTTGAAACGAGTTGTTTATAGCTTTAGGCTTAAATTATAATTGCATTATTCTGACCCGAATGAAGCTTCAGCATTTTGAATACCTAGAATTAGTGCTAATTTTGATTTTATACCTGTATTGCCAAAATATTGCAAAGCAAGTTTATTATTGTTACTGTTTGAATTACTAATTGTTCAGCTTGGTATTGTGCATTCGTAGTCAAACATGGCAACCAATTTGAATCCAGCAATGTCCCACCAACAGCGAGAAAGTGAATGGTCAATTTATCTGGAGGATTTTTGGTCAGGACATCAGGGGAGGAAAAACGCCTTTCTCTTTTTGAATAGTGCCAAGGAATCTTCAACATCCACCTGAACAGGCAAATGCAATGTCAGTTTAACATCTCATCCAAAAGATGTGACCTTCAACAATGCAGCACTCCCCCAACACTGCCCTGGAATGTTAGCCTAGTCTATGAGCTCAATATTGTGGGGCTTGAAGCCACAACCTTCTGACCCAAAGGCAGGTGTATTAGCAACTGAGCCACTTGACACATTTGGAATGGAATGGAGAGCTCAAAGAAAGGACCTTAAATGCATTTTTAAAAAATGTAATCAATCATCTAATTAATTAAACCACCATCTGGTAATTTAAGTTATTACTTAAAACAAATTTGTCATTGATGTTTCTTTTGAGAACCAAGAGACTTAAAGACAGGAAATTGTTCATTAGGTTTTACAAAATTCACATAAGTTTAAAATTATTGGTTTGGCAAATGTTTGCATGAGGGTCAGTCATTTAGATCTGTTGAGGTTTTTAAGAATGTCTGTTTTTGCCAAGAACTGAGGTTGGGTGCAAACTAGGGAAGGTTATTAAGATAGCGTGTCAATTTGTTTCCACCAACTCGAGTTCAAATCCAGCCCAAACAGCTGGAGCAAAATTCTCTTCTTTTCCAGCTGTAATGGTCTGAAATTAAATGATTTCAAAACATTCCTTAGTGGGCGTGGGCCTCCAGTACAAAACTGAAATTCAGCACAAAGTTGAAACTCAGCGAAGTCATAAAGACGGCTGGTGTGAGATACAGAACCATTAACAGTGGTGTAGGAAGTGAGTCTGAGTCATAAGACAAGGCAATCGTCTGTGATATGCCTGATCTGGGTATGCCAAAAGGACAGCACCTCCAACAATGCAGTGCTCCCCTTGTACTCCATTGGAGTCAGCCAAGTCTATGTGAGCTCAAAATCCCTATGTGGGGCTTGAAGCTGTAGCCTTCTGATTTAGAGGCAAGACCAACTGAGCCAGGCTGACACCCACTGAGCACATAGCAAAAAGTAAAAATAATAGGGATAATTGCAACATCATTCATATTGTACACAAACATTTTGAAATAAACACAGGATTATTGCTGAGCAGTCCCAATGCAACTCCAGTTAATGAAGCCTAAGGAAAGGTGATCCCACCATAAGGTTAAGTGTTTTATCGTTCAAAATTTTTTTAATTCTAGACTTACTTCTTTGAGGTGTTGCCTCGATGGTGGTCGTCTTGTATGATTTATTTTTGCTCTGTTGCGCGTCAAGTGATCCAGGGAAATGCTTTCATCCACCTTAACCTAAATACCAAACAAGCGGTGTGTGTGAGTCTTCAAATGTATCCAAAAAACAAACCAACATTTGTAAAATTAAGGATAGATAGGAGAAGACCAAAGGTGCAGTCAACGAGTAAGGATTTTTGAAGGCAAAGAGGGGAAGGATAGAGGGACAGAGGTTCAGAGAGAACACTGGCAATGTAGCTGAAAGCTTGGCCAACCATGGAGAGGCAAAGGACATGAAACAGAACAGAATGAGTGGGAAAGTGGGATCTCAGAGATAGTGTGGCAATACCTTATTTGAAGATAAGACTGAGGAAGACAAATCAAAGCCAGATTTTATGCTCAAGCCAAATGTTACAATTGGATTTTATGAAGTGAATAGTCTCCTGAAATGGTAACGTGGTTTTCTCTGTATTTGTTACCCACATAATGTGTCAAATAATAATAAACATCTGTGTGGAAATTAACTCTGATCTCTCTTTCAATGGTTAGATGAAGAGACATAAATAACGGTGGTGATGTGAGTATAATCAGCACTCAAATAGTTTAAAAAGCAATTACCTCATCAAATGCTTTATTGCTAGCTTGGCTAATAGCTTCATTGAGGACGCTAAACCAAGATTCCTTTTCCTCCACGCTAACAAACTGAAATTTTGGTTCTGGTACCTGGAAAGCAAGCATGATTATTATTATTAAAGTGGATTTATTCATCTGCTACAATTCAATTTCCGCCATAGTCCATGACACTACAATGATACCATCTGATATCAGTATAATGGATTCTGGATGACAAGCTGTATGTGTTATCAATGGCTTTGATGAGTTACTGCAATAAACATCCATAAACAGCAAACTAGAACAGTGGTACTGGAGACCATCTCTTTAATAACTTCAGCAGCATTGCAAACCTGGTATACCTGTTCATCAACTCCTAAAGTAAACTCCTGAGGTGGCTTCTAGTGCAGGCTCAGAATTGAATCAATCGCCCTTCGAACGTATGTGCTGCTCTCTCTGTTGTACAAATTAAGACCAAAGTGATGCCCCTGACGTCTACGTTATAAATAGCTATTGAGAATCTCTGAGAAGATGCTGAGTATATACTGTATTGTGTGTAGTAAACTGTGAGGTTAGGTTGTTTCCACAACCTCCCACCGAGATTAGGTTGTGTGTGTCCACAACTTCTCATTACAAGTTCCGACTTTCAGCAACGCTTGTCATGTGGTCCCCTGAAGAAGGGGAATACTGAATGTAGTCATTCACTCATGAGCGCTGCTTAAAGAGCCAGTTTAAAAACTTCCCACTCAACTCTGGAAAATAACAATAAGAATCCTTGCATTTGATATAGCACCTTATTACATTGTTAGAACATCTCAAAGTGTGCCACCGGATTTTCTATGGAGTGTAATGATTTGAGAATAGTTAAAAAGATTGGAATTGGATGGATATTCAAAGAGGAGTACGTTTATAGGTATAGGGAAAAAGCAGGAAGCTGGGATAAGAGGGGATAACCTCAGTGGAGGAAGCAATTCCACCATAGGCTCATTGAGCTGAAGGTGTTCCTTCTGTGCTGTGAATTCTATGATTCTGATGAGAGACGGAAGGCTGCACAAGAGGAGGAAATTCAAGGATCATAATAGAGGGACTGATCAAGAGGCCCTTTGATCCATTTAAAAGCATCAAAGATAGATGGGTGGTCAACCTTATCCTAAATAAAATGAATGATGCTAAATAAAATAAAATGATCGGGGGCTTGCTGGAAGGAGACTTTCGGGGATAAGCATCAAGAGTATTTGGAAGAAGCATACAATCTGAACGTTGACAACAAAAATAATACTATCAGTCTGTTAAACGCAATTATCCTAATTCACTCCAAGGGAAGCTCCAACAGAGGAATGTGATGAAAGAGCCAGATTTCTTCTAAATCTCTAATAATGTGCAGACATCTGCTCCCATCGTGCCAGTACATTTAACATTTTTACAATAAAAGTTAGGAGAAAAAAAGCAACTTGATTTTAGCAAAGACACTGGACAACTCCCAGCTGCGGCACTGCACTCTTTCCTACTTCCACTTTTCTGGGAGACTTCTGTTTTTTTCAGCAGTGAAGTTACTTTAACAATGATTGTGCTGGAATTTATTCTTAGAACATTCTGCACACAATGGAGTCACACTATTACTTCACATTCTCTGGAACTTGAGTTGAAGTCCTCAGTAATCATTTCCAAAACAAAGTAAGCTAAAGGACCTTGGGAATTTGTAAGAAAAAGAACTGGTGTTACCCCAAATAGATCTGAGAAATTTACAGTGCGGAAACAGGCTATTCGGCCCAATTAGTCTGTGCTGATCAGCCAGCCTTAACCACACCAGCTCAGCAAACCAAGACGCTCTATTCTCTCTCTATACACCTCTGGCTCTGACAACATCCACAAGCCACCAATATCATCACTGCGGTCTTAATGGCGCATTGAAAGAACTATGATTAGTTTTATACTAAACTTTACTGTGCTTTTCAACCTCTTCCAATGTAAATCTCCTGCACACGATCTGCAAACATAGCCTAGAAATTGGGGTAAGACTCCATCCTGGGTGGTTTGCTCAGTTAGTGATTATTAAATATTGAACTTTTAGCGCTCATTGAGTGAGGGAGTGAATTGAAGAGATACAATACAGTATTATGCTGGAAGCCCAGTTACTTGGAAACCTGAATAGGATTGGGAGATACTCAACAGAATATGTGATTGTCTTCCAATGTAGATAGACAAGTGGCCACCCACCATCTTAATCGTATTTGAAACACAATAGTAATCCTGGCATTTGATATGGTGCCATTTACGTCAGAAGGATCTCTCAAACTGTCTCTCAGGATTTATTGTAAAGTGTAGTGACTGTGTGTAAGCCAACGCGACAGCCTATTTGAGTACAGCAATATTTCTCGAAGAGCCATGAAGTGAATGATTTATTTTACCTGGGGGTTTATTGGCCAGTACAAGGGAAAAACTACCTGTTTTCAAATAGTGCCAAGAGATCTTTAACATACACCTTAATAGACAGATCGGACTGAGTTTAAGATGTTGGTTTCTGGGAGTTCAAATTTCTGATGTGGAGCTTAAAGCCACAACTTTCTGGCTTGAAGGTAAGACTGCGATCAACTGAGCCAGGCTGATGTATAGTACAGTACATATTTGGTTTACTCCATTTCATTTCAGTGTCTTCCCCTCAGATAAGGGCCTGATTAGTTTCGCTTTAAATAATGAATGATCCTTGCATTTGTTTATGCTGTCTATAACAGCAAAGTCTCAAAGTGTGTCACAAATAATTGCTGTCAAGTGTAGTTACTGTTTATTTTGAGGCCAACAAGTGGCAGGTTAATTTACACAGCAAGGTCCAACAAACTCCCTTGAAGTGAATGAACAAGCAATGTAGAGGATTGCTGGCCAGGACACCAGAAGGAATCTTCTCTTTTTGAAATATTGTGGTGTTTTAAATCAGAATACAATCAATTGTTCCATGCTGCTTGGATAGTTTATATGCTCTTCCTCAGTTTATATAACAAATGTTCCCTACCTGCCAATTTCTTCAGGAAGGAACTACTAATACATTGTTTAGATTCTTGTTTAGAAAGAAAATTGTTGCCTACAATCTTGTAAAAGAACTCTTCAGCTTCACTAAATAACTGACTTCAAGACAACAAATTTGATTTTGATGAAAACAGTTTCGGGGGAGCCATATTGTTTCAATTTGTTCACTGCAGTATCCCCCTCAAGTCAACAATAATCTGTATTAGTGCTGAAATGCATTAATTCATGAGATGCCCTTACAGTGATTGTAAAGGCATTACAGATCTTAGTTTAGATGTTTGTATGACTTGCCACCAAAGCAAAATAATACTGATATTGCATCAGTGTCGTTATACTTATCTGCTTTACGAGGCCATCTTCTCTCAAATAGGAGAATCTCTATTGTAGCCTATTGTATTCCTGTTATCTATAAAATGAAATAACCTTGGCAACTTTACTTTTCCATCACTGAGTAACTGTTCCACAACACAGCTGTTGCCACTTTGACCCTCGGAGTTTGCCGTGAGAGGCAAATCTACCTCCAGCAGCAGTTCCGAATAAAACATGGCTGCGTTTGCCAGTGCTGACTATCAGAAGACTCCATTCCAGAGTTCCCATTGCCTCTGGAGCAATCAACCTCCATCTCCAGAGTGAGGAGGGTCAGTTGGTGCCAGAACAAAGGGACAGGTGACGATGTAAGTGGAACAAAGAAGTGAGATGCGTTAGGTATGAGCAAAAGCATTTTAAGTTTATTTTGCTGTTCTCACCACTCTGACTTTGGTTTACTGTAGCTCATTAAAGAGCCTAAATGGCAACACCCAACTTCACATCTGTGGATAACAGTAGTGAGTCCATGAGGAGTTGTAAGCCCGCAGGTCTATTAAAAGTGTAGGTTTTGCTCCTATTCTTTTTGACATTTTAAGTACAATGGCTATGCATTGTCCTATTGTCCTGGAGCTAAGAGAAGCACCCACAATATATTAAATTAACCTACACTGTACTCAACCAACGGCAAGAGGATATTTTGTTTTTATTTTCTGATGAGCCTTAGGAAAATCCAGAAAGCTAATCACTGTGCAGGCACCACTCTCATAATTTCCATGTGGTCTGATATCCTTGACCAATCCATCATTTAACTTCTTTGATGCTTTTTTTAATAGTGAAAAAGGCTTTCACCAATAGCAAACTTGAACCATGAGCCTACAATTGTAGAAAAACCCTTGGTTGCCGGCAACTCAGCCAACCTTGGCTTGAACGTCAGTGACAGTGGTTCATGGATACTGGTTGTTGGAACAAATCAATGTACTAACTATTATCTTTATTGCTGCTTTCTTGTGGATAACGGAACACACAATGTACATCATGCTATTAATTGCTGGCATGAATACACCCATGATCTGCCAGCAGGAGTAACTTTGTAACAACTGGAACACTTCATCCTGCTGTTGGCCAAGAACTGGTCAAACTTGTTTACTGGAGTCTCTGGTGTCTGAATTTCATTAAGATTTTAACTGAAACAAGTTCTCATTTTGGGACCGAGCGAGCCTCTGAATTAAAATTGCTTATGAAGCAACTACTTCGCATTCATTTGAAAAAAAGGTGCTTTTGAGAAATTCGAGAAAAACAGAATAGTGCTTTTTACACGACAGTACTTGCTAGTTTTAAAGCCAACAACATCTATTGAAAGGGTTAATGCTTCCACAAGGTGTGTGTGCGCGTGTGTGATGGAACCATTAACCCTTTCGATAGTTGTTGTTGGCTTTAAAACTAGATCTTCTTACTCCTAATAAACAGTCTCAGGAAAAATGAATGACCCAAGATTCACAGAACATCTGTGATAAGAAACTATGGGATACAATCTATAAAACTACAAATGACTGACCTTGACCTGATAACTCAGAGCTAACAGTTGCAACTCAATTACAGTCAGTACCACTAGTGGCCCTTGAAACATGTTCCAAAGCCAATGTATTTGATTTGTATTAAATAATTAATCCTTGCTCTGTTGACAGGTAAAGCAGAAGTTCACCCCTTCTCTCTGGATTTCTCCTGTCCCAGAACGTGACCCAGTAATCTGAAACGCCCCGTTCCAAGCCATGTCTCCAGCCAAT